TTTTGCATAGGCAGCTGAACTTGTGAGTCTAGAGTTTAGGGTAGAAATCAAGGGAAATCAAGGTTTGAGATGAAAATTAGTAACTGGATCATTTCAGATGGAAACTTGATAACAATAAACAGTGTGTTCGAAGAATTAGCTTGCTATCTCATGAGAACAGAGTGGAGAGAACCTGAAGGTCAAGACCTACAAGGAAGCCGCTGCAGCTGTCCCCACATTGGAGGGATGAGGTCTGGCGTGCTTTGGCACCAGGGGCCGAGAACAGGCAGCAAGGCCCCGGCGCACAGCCTGTCAGGAGAATGAGCCACCTGTATTCTAAGTATGAGCCTGAGTGACAGAACAGTTATCTTAAATATGACAGAAATGGGGGAAGAGAGAAGAATTTATGCAAAAAGGATGGCTTAGTTTTTAGATAACCTAAAGTGATAGAATATTCACGTTTAGACATTCAGTTAGAGATGTGGGCCTAACACTAAGTAGAGGATATAAGAACATGAGAAATGGAAACTTCTGGTCTCTAATAATAACAACAATAACATCCATGGCTTACATGTGTTAAATCCCCACCACGTGCCACGCATTGTTCTAGGCCTGCTATACACGGTCTCTAACGTAGGTCTGGCAGCGATTCCGCAGGTTGGGGGCTTTTATTGTCCCCATCTCCAAGGTGGGAGAGTGGAGGTGCAGAGTGGTTGAATACCTAGCCCAGGGGCCAGGGCTCTGGCTGCAGAGTCTGACCCTGGAGGGCCCATTCTGAACCACAGGGCTATGCCCTGGGTTGTGTTAGTCCTACCCCAAAGCTTATAAAAGGTTACATGCTATATGCTTCCATTTACGTGGTGTTATATAACATGCAAAACTATAGGGGAGGAGATCTGGAATTGTTAGGGGATTGGGGTTGGGGTGGATTTGACTTTATATGATACTGTGAGTGAGTTTTTTGGAATGATAGAAATATTCTGTATTTTGTTGGTTACAGTAATCTATATGTATGTTAAAACTCAAAACTGTATATCAATAAAGAGTATATTTTATTCTATGTGACTTTTCTGCTACTTTGGCATAAGGATTATTTTGAGCTGAGCAAAAAAATAATTTGAAATTCAACAAATGCAGAAAGAATCCTTCCTGGAGCTTCCTTTATTCAACTAAAAGCAGAGACTCCTGAGAGATAAGGACACCATTCAACAGCAATGATGTTTTTAAAAAATGGTAGCATCTCCTTTAAGCTCAGCCTTTAATTTTTTTTTTTTAAAAACTTTCTTAATAATTTATGAAGTTGATTTTAAACCCTCTCAAAGTGGGGTCTGAAAAGTAGGACCATTAAATATGAAATAGATTTCAGGCTGCTGACAACTGATTGTGCAATCCTGGTCAGAGCCCTGAGATGAAATCCCTCGGGTGAAGAACCAGCCCACTAAGAAATCTTCATTTTGTATTAAGCTTATTCTAACATATTTGAGAACATCATGCATTCCTATTGGATCTCAATTTTAAAAAATCAGACACTACTTATTAATATGAAAGAGAATCCTTTTAACAGGATTGGAGGCTGAACTGGAATGAAAAAATAAATTCTACAGGAAGAGAAATTACCAGTCAGGAGCAAGGGAGCCACAGTAGGTCAGAGAGGAAAGCCCCGCTGCTCCCACAGCAAGCGGAACCTGAAGTCAGCCTTCGAAGGCCATCAGAATGTGCTAGCCCCAAATCTGCTATTTGGGCATAAATACTATTTTGACCAGAGCTCATTTAGGATTCAACAAATGCAGAAAGAATGTTTTCTGGAGCTTTTCTTATCTGACTAAAAGCAGAAACTCCTGAGAAATAAGGACACCATAAATTCCCCCTCCCAGGGAAGTTTTATGCTCATGAAGAAGATGGAAATTCAGCACCAAGATGGACCTGTTCAAACAAACCTTGCTAAGATAGCCCCTACCTGCCATTTGTTTCCCCTACATGTTTACCTTCCCACAGTTTGCCACCCTTGGAAGCCCCAAACTCCCTTTGTTCTGTCATGTGTCCACAATTTATTACTCTTTGTTAAAAATATCATACAAGCTCTTAGACCTATCTACTCTTTTAGGTATTCTATCCTTTTCTAAGAAGGCCCACAGTCATGTAAAAATTAACATTAAATAAAAATGTGGATGCTTTTCTCCTGTTAATCTGTCTTTTGTCAGTCTAATTTGCAGGGCCCCAGGAAAGCAACCTAAGAGGGTAGAGAAAAAATTTTTTTCTAGCCTTACACTTGCTAATTGGATTGAATTGAATTCATATTTCTAGATAATTCTTCAGTGTAAAACTAGGAAGGGTACTGCCCTAGTCCATTTTGTGCTGCTATAACATTATACCTGAGACTGCGTGATTTATAAAGAACAGAATGTATTGGCTCGCAGTCCTTGTGGCTAAGAAGTCCAGTATCAAGGTGCCAGCATCAGGTAAGGGCCTTCTTATTGCAGCAACATGTGGCTGAAGGGCAGAAGGGCAGAAGGGCAGAGGGGCAGGGGAAAGAAAGGCTGAACTCGTCCCCTTATAGCAGCATTAATTCCACCCACTAGGACAGAACTTCATGGCCTAATCACCTCTTAAATGTCCTATCTCTTAATATTGTTATAATGGCAATTAAATTTCAATACGAGCTGAAATTTAATACAATATAATATATAATACAAAAGCTAAGAGAGCAGAGTTTATAGCAGTGATGTCATTAATAAAGTTAATTCAGTTTGTCAGAGCAATGTGGTGTATTTACCCCACATGCAGGTAACTTTACACAGAGAATACTGATCCTGCAAAGAGACCAAGTCAGCATGGGCTAATAGATACCAACATAAGTAGTTAGTAAGAGTAGAAATTCATCTCCACTCCCAGAAAAGTAATTCTAACTGATGTCAGTGGATCAACAGCATATGTGTGTGTCAGATTAACCATTTAGACACAAAATACTCTTAGAAATTACTCTAAATAGAAGGATATCATTGTGTAAAAACAATATTCATGAAGTTGTTCATTGAACCAAAGCAGAATACCTCAAACATATCCATTTGTAGTATTAAATGAAGGGAAGGTCTGTCTGTGTAGAAAGTAGTCAACACTCAAGAGGTAGAACTTTCAGAAGTCCATTCAAGGATGTAATAAGCATCCGAGCTCAGCAGGGGGCTGGCTGGTACTGCCTCACTTACCACATCTCTTCTGTGAGCAAAGGCGCACCAAGTCATTTGACCAATGCAGTTCCTTCTCTATCAAAGCTAAGGACAGATGTAAATGACTACTGCAGACTTCTTGATATAAAAGTCACTAAAATGTGATTGAGCAAAGGTTACTGAAATTACTATTTTTGTATTCTTGACACATAATTGAATGGAATAATTGAATAAAAGATAACTGTTGAAATTAAGAAAGAATTATTTTTATGGTAGGGGCACACTAGACAAAAGACCAACAAAAATTTTTTCAAATTTCTACTAAGAATACAGAAAGCCAATCTTAATTAACTAAGAAATTACAATCTCTTACCTTTTTCTCCTAACATTCCTCAAGAAAAGGACATGAAACCTGTCTTAGTCCATTCCTGCTACTATAACAAAATACCTTAGCCTGGGTAATTTAAAAATAATAAGAAATTATTTTTATGATTCTGTAGGCTTAGAAGTCCAAGATCAAGGTGCCAGCAGATTTGACGACTATTGAGGGCCCATCGTCATTCATGGCATCTTTTTGCCGAATCCTCACATGGCAGAAGGGACTAGCATTGTGTCCTCACATGGCACAAGGGATGGAAAGGCCAGGCAGCTCTCTGAAGCCTCTTTTATAAGGGCATTAATGCCATTCATGAGAGCAGAATTTAATCACATCCTTAAAGACCCCACCTCTTAATATTATTGCATTGGAGATTAAGTTTTGACATAAATTTTGAAGGGACACAAACATTCAAACCATAGAAGAAACATACATACACAAGTATTTTCCCCATCATCATGTGATAATTGTATCAAAAATGTGAAATATTTAGAACAGAGCTGTATAACAAGAAATTTATAACTATGTACTTAAGGACTACTTAATGCTTTCCCTCAATATTTGTATAAAGATAGCCTGAATATCAGAGGCAATATTTTATTCCCAGGTAAACTAAGGGTGAAAAAATAATAGTTTGGAATAATATCCCTGCCACTAATCTAAAAAAACTAATGGCAGGAAAAAAAAAATAGCAGAAGAGTTCTTCTAATTATCCTTCCGAAGAATAAATTTTATATTTTTGGCCTTCAACTATCCTGTGGTCATTTGTATAACCTTTTTTAATAGACCTGTCCCCTACATGTGGAAATGAAGATGAAATTCCCTCCTGGAAAGATGGAGGAAAGATCTGAATATATGCAAATAATGTTCATACAACGGATTGAAAATTAAAGCATTTCTTTCCCTTTCTGGAAAAAATCTAAATAAAAACCTTAATATTTAGCTTACTTAGTAGATCATCTCACTACTGTTTTTACTATGACAATTATAACTGGAGATTCCGGGATCCTTGTGATAATAACATGTCACTTCTTCCCAGGCAGTTTCTGGCCTCTGCAAGTGCTGCTTCAATTCCATCCTTGAAGTCAGTTCTGGCAAATCCAACTGCCTATATTCCACAACTAATAAATCCTGCACAGTTCATGGAAATACCATCTACAAAGTGTCTCATCTTGAAAGCTGGGCTGCAGACCATTTTTTATTTGCAATTAATTATCTCCAGCTGTTGGAGGGCAAGGAAAGAACATTCTAACCTAAAGCATCAGACAGATATTCTTCATACCCTGGGGGTGCAAAGTGCATTTTGCTCATTTGAACTCCACAGCATTGCAAGGGAAATTAAACAATATTTAAGCCAACATTTCCAGCTTCACAGGAAAAAAAATGAGGCTCAGAGACAATGAGTCATATGCCCAAGGTCAAACTTTTCATTAGTGATTGATCCACAATATAATCTGAGTCTAGAGGTTTTGTGTGGTATATTATATTAATAGTATGTTCTTCTAAAAAATTTTTCTATTTTCTTATGCAGGAATGCTGGATAACTATAACCTACCCTCAGCTGTACATTGCCAAGGAGTGAGTGAGTATGTCTGTGCACGTGCAGCAGGTAGGCATGGAGAAGAGTAGGTGATGGCAGGAGGAAGAGTACAGAAGGAGCAACATGAGTAAAGGTGTCCATATCCTTTCAGATCGTTTCGGATAGCCACTGAAGAAGAGAGGCCATTTGGAGTTGAGATTTTTCTGCCTGCTCTCAGCACACCTCCTATGGGAGTGATGTGATGCAATGCCTTGGACAAAGGGTGAGCAGTTGGAGAGGGAAACAAGAAAGAGAAAGAAATTGGAATCCGTAAAGTACAGCCCCTCAATTACTCAGTATTGGCTACAAAATTACCTTTGGAGAGTATTGAAATGTCATCAAACCTTCAGATAATAGAGTCAAGAATTAATAATGCAAGCATTTGGCTCAGTATCATAAGGTAATAGGTAACAACTAACAACTAACTGTCTCAAAAAGCCCTTTTAGGTACTGAGGCACACCCTCTCATTACGACTCACAAATCCCCTTGGAGACACACATCGATGACCATCGAGCCCTCGTAGTTCATTTGGTACACAGTGCGCAGCAACGTGTCTTCCATTTATAGCATCCGCTCTTTCTTCCAGTAACTTGGCAGCAGCGCAGTTGAGAGATGAGATTACCTGGGGGGGGGGGATCAAAGGCAAGTCAGCATTCCGCCCTTCAGCCCTGCACCACCATGAAAGTAGGCAAACTATGTCTGCACCTCTCTGTGCTTTTCCTTCTCACCTGAAAAATGTTAACAGTCATCTGTGAAATGCAAACCACGCATTTCCTTGTGTTCTTAGAGCATATAGAGAAGGATTCATGAGATCATGGCTACCAAATGGCCACGGTCACTGTGGGGCCTCTGGTGGGGATCGACCACCCCCTTCCACGTCCTTGCTGAGGGAGGCGGCTTTACGGACCCTGCATCAGGTGAGCGACGACCTGGATAGCACTTTCTTTCACACATGTCTCACCTACACATACTCTCACACACACACAGTGACATCCAGTGACATGCACACTCACACACAACATGCACGCATGTTCACACACCTGCATACACGCTTTGACACACACCACATAGCACACATACTCTCACACACACACAGTGACATCCAGTGACATGCACACTCACACACAACATGCACGCATGTTCACACACCTGCATACACGCTTTGACACACACCACATAGCACACATACTCTCACACACACCACACACATCACATATACCAACTCTCTCACACACCATATATGCAACACACTTTTACATGCACACCACACTCTACACCACATACACTCTCACACACCACACACCTCATGCCATACACCCACCACACACCATACACACCACACACCTCACACTGTACATACACCACACATCACACATACCACAAACACTTCACACCGTACATAAACCACATACCTCACACCATACACATACCACACATCACACACCTCAGACCATTCACACACCACACATCACACACACCACACACACCTCACACCGTACATATAACACATACCTCACACCATACACACACCACACATCACACACACCACACACACCTCACACCGTACATATAACACATACCTCACACCATACACACACCACACATCACACACACAACACACACCTCAGGCCATTCACACACCACACATCACACACACCACACACACCTCACATGGGACACACACCACACATCAACACACACCACACACACCTCACACCGTACATATAACACATACCTCACACCATACACACACCACACATCACACACACCACACACACCTCACACCGTATATACACCACATACCTCACACCATACACACACCACACATCACACACCACACACACCTCACACCGTATACACATCATACATCACACACACCTCACACTGTACACACACCACATACCGCACACACTCTCACAGACCACACACACCACACTACCCACACCATATCTGCACTGCTGTGCTCCTGAGGCTGTGTATGCTGCTCCCTTTGCCTGCAGTGGCCTCTCCCTGCCCAGGCCCTGGACATCGCCCGTCATCCTTGAGGACTCCTACGGTCAGATCCCGCAATCTCCACTCAGCCTCCTCTGTTCCGGCCAAGGCTTCACAGGGGCCTCTCCTACTGCCTTCCATAGAATCCTCTGCACATGTCTGCGCGAGCCCTAAGCCCTAGTATGGGAATCGTGTTGACCTGACATAGTCTGCCTCCATCAGAAAACTCTCAGAAGTGACCACGTGAACAATTTGCCCACCATCCAGTGAGAACAGCAAGCTTCGGTGAACCCAGCGCTTCCACACCTCCAGCAGTGTGAGCCCGCACACATTCCATCTCCTGGGAACCTCTGTGGCTATCAGCGATGTCTTTGCTTTAGGACACACACCCACAAACCACAACGCAACCACTCTGTGAATCATGTAACACACAGATGGACTTAAACAGCAGAATGAACAGGCGGTGCTCAGCTTACACACCCTGGCAGCCCCGCCTCTGTGCTGGAATCTGATTGTGGCACCCTGTCGCTTTTTGCATTGTTAATGGTTTTCTTTGTTCCCACATCTCTTACCCCACTTTCTTGCCAACAATTTGCCTTTTGTTTGAAAGCCTTTCATTTGAGTTCTTAAGTGAAGGATTTTTGAATGCTAGTTTCTTGGCAAATATGCTCATTTTGCAAAATTCTTACTTATCAAGTCCAATAAACTTTTAGCCAAGAATCACAAATCCACAGTGTTCTTGAGCCCTGACTTCTGGTTCCACCATCAGAGCTTTGCTTTCCTCATGCGCCATCCCTTCCCTTCCTCACTGCTCCCCACGCAGGAGGCTGCCTCCCACACCTGCTCTGTTCCTGCTTCTGGCAATCTTAAATTATGAATTTTCTTACATGTGAGAACATTTAGGAATCCTCCACTTTTTTCAGTGTGACCATTCAGTACAAATGGCAGGCCACACAGGAAGCACCTGTAAACTGCAGCAGTCAAGAGTGGATGAATTGCCCCGCATGTCCCTGCAGGAGTGCACATCGCCCATGGCTGCCCTGGCTCCCCCAAGTCTAAAAATACCTGTGAAATCAAGATCATAGTATTTTATTTGTTAAATACATGCATCAGTTAGAACTCTGGTTTTCAAATTATACAAACTCACCTCAAACTCTGCAAAGCAAAGCTTATGATGAAGATATTGGGATGCCAGACACCAAGGGCAGGGTTGTGGTGGGACTGGGGCTCACCTGGGACCAGAGACAATTGATGTCAAGATTTTCTCTCCTTCTCCACAGTCAGAGAGGCACCTGGATTCTTCATCCTCTGGACAGTCAGATCCTCCTGCTTCTTGGTGTGCATTCCATCCCCCGCTCCTGACCCTCATATTATATGGTGACAGCAGCCATAAGAGACTGAATCTCACTTTTCTTCCTTCTAATACGCCCAAAGGGGAGATTTTTATTAATACACACTGGTTTCATGCCCACTCCTGGACAAATAACTGATAACCTGGAGAGAGGGTTACCACACTACTATGGGAGCTCCCGCCACTGTCGTATGAATAGAGACTGGGGAGGACAATTGTTAGAAATGGAAGCTTTCATGGGAAACAACAAATCGTAGCAGCTGTTGATGTATCTAAAACAAAATAGTGTCTACCTCTGTGTGGCACAGAGATGACCAAGGTGTATTGTTAGTTATATTTTATCTTCCTCCTTTGACCCAGCTTCTACTAATACACTTCCTACTAATGCCTACTTCCCCTAATACATACACACACACACACACACACACACACACACAATGAGCAAAGAATCCATTCCCACATGCAGACTAGAGCACATGTCTTGGAAATTACTGGCCTGTATCACTAGTGAATTAATATATGTTATCAAATAAATTTTTTTCTTAAAATTCTAAGCAAATGAAGCTCATTGGGAAATGCTACCCCTTGATCTCTAGACCCACTGCATATTTTATCTAAAACTCCATTAAATTCTTTTTATCTTACCCAAAAAGCTGACTTCATGGTATCTTTTGCAAAGCTGACTTCGTGGTATCTTTTGCTGACTTCATGGTATCTTTTTATCTTACCCAAAAAGCTGACTTCGTGGTATCTTTTGCCTAAAAGTCAATAGAGATGAGTGTCTGTTATTTCTGGAATAGCTGTTTCTTCTCTCTCCCATTTTCCAGTTGCTGAAACAGTTTCCATCAAATCTTCCCTGTACACAGTTTGCCCATCCAAACTCAGGGAGTGAGGCAGAATTTTTGCCACCGCAGAACCATAGGTGAATAAAGTGTATGTTAAGAGTGGGCTTAATTTGGAGATATGTTCTATTAATTTTGACTAGATCATTTGTGAATATAGGAATATAATTTTTATTATGTCTAGGGTCATCTCATAAGATCAGTAGTTCACATGGTAGAGTACAGAGGATATACAAGATTGGAGGGAACTGTGCTGAACTAAACAATGCCTGGTTAGCCAGGACAGGGAGAGATGCAGATCTAAGGGGACATTTAAAGTTACTTTTCCTGCTGTCCCAGTTTTGGCTCAGGCCCTAAAGTCCGAGATCTTTATATTGAGTGCCAAGTCCTAACACATGGTAAGAGAAGCTTCCAGACCACCTCTTGCTAAGAGATTATATGATAGGTTCTTACATCAGCCCCATCACCCACCTCCAGACTATGTAAGAGACAGTAAATCATTCACTGTGGAGCCCGAAGAGAACAACAATTGGTTCCTTTGAAAGTCAGAGTTTCTGTGTTCTCTGTGTTTTCCTGTCTCATAGGCAGGGGATGTGCTCCAAGTGAAGGTGGCTTCCAGAGTATAACTACTTGGCACTTGCTTCCTAGAATTCAAAGGACAGGAGTTCTGTGTCTTGCTTGTACCAGAAGGAGGTACAGGTGGGAGGTCGGCTGGCTGCCCCGAGACAGCAGAGTGAGGAGAGGTGGATGTTGCAATGGGAGAGATAAGTAGAAAAGGTTGTGCAAGTTCTGTGGGCCAGAGGCCAACTCCACTGCACAGTCTAAGCTATCTTGAGAGAGGCTCTGGCCAACAGGACTGCTTGAGGGTGAGTTGAACTCAAGAAGGGATAAGCCACAAGAAACAAGTCTGGCAAAGAGATCATAGGCAGCCAATTGGAGAAGGAAGCACACACCTAAGACAAGAGAACCCCAGTGACAGTGCTGGTCTTTAAGAAAAATCCAGAAGATCCCTAGAGCAAAGAAAGAATCAACTCTTAGAAGCCTCAGGACCCAGATTGCAATTTTACCAGGTAAGTAAGACAGCACCTGTTCCTCACCTCTCTTCCCAACTAGCATCTTTTGGACAGTTTCCAAAAGAGCAACTAATGAGTGGGAGAAGAAGTGGGGCCATAAGGAGGAAACACCAGCCCTGGCCCCTTCCTACTGCAGCTCCCCCAGCAGAGCTGGGCCAGGGTGGGAATGGAATCAAGATGTGAGTGTTGATGTTACATCGAACTAGAGTTTAGTAACTTGGAAAACAAAAACTATGTTGTTTTTACCTGATAGTGATTGAGAAGTAATAAGAATGACCTGAAATTACCATCTAGAAAATGGGTCAAAATAGTCAATTTCTGTTGCTCATTCCAAAATCTCACCTGTTCAGGTTATTGGTTACACTGGGAAAGGCTCATTCATCGCCGGACTTCTTTCTGAGCACTCAGCGGTGGCTCCCGCAGTTCTGCAAGGGTGTTACAAGTGTTGCATCTACACTCTTGAGGCACATTATTGACATGGGGAGAGGGATGGAGGTCCCCCAACACCCATTCAAATAATAATAATGATAATAAATAGTATCTGTAAGCAATTTTAGAATACTTCCAAAAATTTTTCAATTGATCACCGTTTTCTCTTTATCTGGCCTTCCAGAGACACAATCTAATCGACCTCTAAGAGATCAATTAGATAAGGAATCTAAACCACCAAAAAACCTCCTCCTGGAGTTCACCTGCTGCGTTTTCACCTGTTCTTGTTTTACGGGGGACATGTCCTCTCTCATTTGTGACTCTATTGTTTAATTAACGTGGCTTGAATTTGCGTTAACTTTGGGACATCACACTTCTGACACAGTTTCCTCATATCCTTTCGCACACAGGCTTCCGCTGAGGAGGGTCCCTCACTCTGCACAAAGACTCAGTTATTATTTCAAGGGGTGTAAATGCTTATTTTTGTATTTGGTTCTGTTAAATGTCACTTTTAACCTTTGCCTCTTCATATGATTTAATTTCTCTTTAGCTATCCTGGATGCCGTTGAAGAGCAGTGGTTAATCTCTTTCTCTAGGCGAGTGCGTGTGCGCACAGGGCCCAGGAGCCGGGCACCTGGGCAAGGGGCTTAACCTCTTTGGGCTTCATCTCCGCACTGAGACCCGAGCTGCGCAGGGCGCCCAGGCCAGGCCGCCGGGCCGCCGCGGACGGTGGATGTGGCTCTCTCCACGGAGCTTCCTCCACCCGGGCCTGGCACAGTCTTAGGATTCAGTCACATTTGGACAACCAGCCATTTTAAACTTGGGGCTCACGATCCGGAGACGGTGAGGTTCCTGCATTTCGTGGCGACCTCCCTTCCCCGCGGGCGGCACGTGGACCGAGCCTGCGCCTCTCCAGTCTGCGTCGCCATGGCGACGGCCCCGCGCCCTGGGCGGGAGACACAGCAGGGCGTGCTGCTGCGTCCCAGCGCGCTTCTGCGCTTCTGCGAGGGCGCCTCGTGCTTCCTTCCTGACACCCCGGAAGAGTCGGCGCCTGCGCCTCTCCAGTCTGCGTCGCCATGGCGACGGCCCCAGCCCTGGGCGGGAGACACAGCAGGGCGTGCTGCGTCCCACCGCGCTTCTGAGGGCGCCTAGTGCTTCCTTCCTGACACCCCGGAAGAGTTGGCGCCTGTGCCTCTCCAGTCTGCGTCGCCATGGCGACGGCCCCAGCCCTGGGCGGGAGACACAGCAGGGCGTGCTGCGTCCCAGCGCGCTTCTGAGGGCGCCTCGTGCTTCCTTCATGACACCCGGGAAGAGACGCCTGGAGCTGTTCCTGCTGCGCAGCTTTGCGGATCGGAAGAGCGCTATTTCTCCTGTTTTTCTTAAAGTAAAAAACAAAACAAAACAAAAAACAATGAAGGGAAGGAAGGACTACAGGGAGGGAGGGAGGATAGAAAAAAGAAAGGAAAGGAAGAGAGAGAGGGAGGCGGGAGCGGAAAGAGTACAGTGTGTCTGTCCACGCCTACCAATACAAAACTGAGGAGTCCCCACAAGAATTTCTGGAGCTTCCCAGGCTGTTTCACAGGAGAATTCCCCAAGTTCCTTGTGTTCTCGCCCGTCTTCCCCGCTCCAGCCCCGGCCATGCTGAGTCTGCTGGGCCTCACGCTCCCGGGGCTCAGCCTGGCTGCGCCTGCCACTGAAGGCTCCCTCCTCTGTGTCCCCTCCTGGGCCGTGAACTGAAAGAAGTCCTGCAACCTGTATCGTCCCCACCTGAAACGTGACCAGAGCAGTTCCACCACAACCTCAGGACCGACGAGAGACGTTTGGAGTCTGCTCAAGAGAATGTTCTAACGACAGATATTATTATGAGAAACCCTGGTTTCAGACACTATATTAAGTCATCCTGTATTTCAGGGCCAGTAGCAGTAACTGTGCTGTAGATGTTTCACAGCACATATGAATATTACATTTAACCAGGTTTAATCATCTCAAACTATAAATCATTGAAAATTCCTAGGATTTCTTTTTTTTATTACTTCATATTATGGGAGTACAAATATTGTTAGGGTTACATATCTTACCCCTGCCCCTCCTCCCCCATCCTGCTATGCCAGAGCTTCAAGCGTGCCCAGCCTCCAGGAGGTGCGCACCGCACCCACCGTAAGTGCATACCCTTCCCTCCTCCCCCCTTCCCCCACCCACTTCCCGATTTCTAAGAATGCTAAAACAGTTACCCCAGATATCTACACACTTATTTGAAGCCATTTAATAATTTTACTTCTACTTAATTTTTTATAAATTAATACCAATTCAAGATCCACAGCAACAATTCAACAATTTTTCTAGTATAACACACTTCAGATGGTGACTAACTTGGAATAGACAGTATGTTTCACCAAATCTAAGCTACTTCGTGGTTTCAGAGAAAAAATGTGTTTTACAATCAATGAAATCTGATGTGTCTTTTCTATGTTTAGAGAATGAAAATCAAATATCTTTCAAGAGGATCTATAACTTGATAGTATCATTTTTGTTTTGTTTTGTTTTGTTTTATGAGATAGAGCCTCTCTCTGTCACCAAGGCTGGAATGCAGCGGCATGATCATAGCTTGCTGCAGCCTTGAACTCCTGGGCTCAAGTGATCCTCCTAGCTTAGCCTCCTGAGTAGCTGGAGTACAGGTGTGCATCACCATGCCAGCTGAGTTTTTAATTTTTTTTGTAGAGATGAGGTCTTGCTATGTTGCTCAGGCTGGTCTTAAACTCTTAGCCTCAAGTGATCCTCCAGCCTTGGCCTTCAAGGTAGTAATAAAAGAATTGCCAATGGGGTATATAATGAGGTACTAGAAAGTGAGATTAAATTATCTACCTAGCTAGCTATCCAGCCATCTATCATCTATCCATCCATCTATCTATATCCATCTATCTTCCAGAATTGTAGGCAGGAGTCATCTTAGAAGAGCTTCTCTTCACTATGGGAAAGTTCTCCCTTATATATTTATAGATAAAACCAGTAGGCTTCCCTAGCCCTGAAGGAAAGTTTTAATTTGGACGCATGGTTAACTCTGCCATCTACCACCATCCATCAGGGAGAACACAGCATCATTAGCCTGATATGCAGCCTTCTGGACGGGGACTAAGCTGGTCTGCACAGGAAGGGACCAATACTCTCCTGTGGCTTCTTTCAAACATTTAACATAAGGGGTGGATAATGGAAAGTCACCATGCATCTGTAACACCATGTATCTGTATCTGACATGATGTATTGTCCTGCATTCAATTCCCAAAGTTCACAGGTCAATTTATCATGACTGGAGAAGTGGGATACACTCATCCTAGATATCACAAGTCCGACTGAAGCTCTTTACCTGAAAAAAGATTCAGGCAGAAAAGTACAGTGGGTACATCAAAAAGGAATTCAAAATCAAGAAAAGGGTGTATGAGATGTTGGCTGGAGGTCAAGGCCACTGACGGGGAGGGGCGACTGTCGGTGCACGTGGGTGGGTCTGGAGGCATCAACCACCTGCCACCCACAGAATCATGCCTGGTAGTGACGGTGAAACTTCAGCAAGGGAGCGAAGTAATGTTTGTTTAACTTAGGGCAATGGGTAGGAAATCTGCTTTAACCTTATTTTGACCTGAAAGAAAAGAGAGTTAGAGGATAAAATAGCAGAAGTACATCCTGGCCCTGGCTTTAAGCGAAGGAAATTCTAATACTGTCACTTCTGAGCACTGAAGCAGAGTTACCTCAACTAGGCGAAGAAAAGGTATCTGATTTGCTCTTTTATGGGGGGTTGTGAAACAGAAAAAAAAACCCACATAATAACACTATGATTTGAAAATTAAGCTAGTCGACAGAAGACAAATATTTTGACACCATCACGAACTAGAGAGGCTGTCATAAATAGTGTCTATGTGCACAGTTCCTTGTCCAACAGCTGTCTGAGCTGGTTCCTTGAGGATCCCAGGCCATCCAAAAATATTTAAATGTTTTGTAGGGATTTTATAATGACAACATGTTTTGAAATAAATAGCACTCAAGGAAATGACTGTATTTTTGTGATCTTCTCTACATTCTTGGGCCACCCAGAACCAAAAATAATTATATTGATAAAAATTCCATTCTAATCCTTTACTATACTCTAAAAAGACCTTTTGAAATATTGAGCTTTTCAATAAGTTGCAGGTTTTCTTTTTCTAATCCATAATTACAATATTAAAAGAGCTTTTGAAATATTGAGATTTATAGCTTTCAAAACTTTTTTAAAAGCTTTCAAAATGGCTTGTCAACATATACCCTTCCTACCACACTAGAACCATTGCTATGGGCATGACCAGCACATACGATTGTTTGTTCATAGGGTAGGTCCATGGCTTCTTTGAAGCAGAACTGACAGTGGGAAATATTGTATCATCCTCAAGCATGATTTCTCAGGCACAGAGAGCCAACAAGAGGCAAAACTGAGAACCAGGTTTCCCTTTAGCATCCTTCCATGTCTTCTACCAGTGCCTCCCCCTCCCTGATGTGAGCGTGTCCTTGTACTCCCTGACTCCCAGTCCGGCAGACCAAGGTTTTGCCCTCCTGAGCCATGCCAGGCTCATCCATGCTCCAATTGCTCAGAGGCCTATCGGAAGTCTGTTTCCCTTCCTCATGGGAAGAGATGGTCTTGTCCGTTGGTGTCTGGAGCGCGTCCCCAGTGCATGTGCCTCTGGGAGAGGCAGCAAAGAAGCCCAGCAGATACCCAGTGAGGGCTTAGGTAAGACCTGGAGGCCACCACATTGCTGCCCTCTCTTCCAACAGCCCAGAGCATGCAGCCCAGCCTTCTTGGCTTCTTTCAGTGCCTCACCCTATACTTCTCTGTCATGCCTGACATGCCTTTCTTCTGCTCTCTTGTAGCAGTCCAGTCCTTCTGTCTCATGTCCACTCATATTGACATATCGACTGTTTTACCTGCAATAGCATCCCTTAGGCAATATATAAATACATATAACTCCAAATCTATCTTCCCTTTAAAACTTTCAGAAATGAAATATAAGTAAATATAATTCTGTGCAATGATATAAAGTGACAGACATGTGCTATACCAGGGAACATGATGAAAAAACGTAACATGTATTGAAATGATGCAGGTGAGTAATTGCACACAGAGCCTGATGAGTAAAGAAAGAAACCAAAAACTAGTAGGCATTTCAACTGCAGTTAGATGGGAAATTTTGTTTTTACAAAGTAGAAAGAAAACAAGAAACCGAGCAAGACATCATCAGAGAGAGAAAATCTCCCGGAGAGGAGATCTAGCATAGATGGCTGGTTTCCATTTAGGATTAACTGGCTAGGACTCTTAAGAAAGCCTGACACTAATTAGAAGCAGAGCTCACACTGGAAGATTTTTCATTTTGTTCTTTTAGTATGAGACACATCAAAATTCCAGTTTGCAAAAGGCTGCTTCTGTTCATATTTCTTCATGCCATGAGTCCCTTCCAAGTTTCCAACTGCCACTTCTCCAAACTCTCACTTCAATCCTTCTGCACATTCATTTTAATACTTCATTGTTCTCTTGAAAGAGGGAGGGAAAATATCTGTTTGTGCATGCTCCTTTATAATCGATTTGTCACAGCAATTCTTCTTCTTCTTATTGTTTCTGCTTCAGACGATGCTAAAGAGACGCTGCCCCCCTGAAAGGGGAGTGTTCGGTCTGTGCGATGCAGCTGTCTCTCCCACTCGCCACTCCCGGAGAGTCCTGAGAGATTTTCTTGCATCTGTGAAAAGTGAGGGTCCTATCAGCCTTGGGGCTTGATTTCCAAGTTCTGTTTTAAGACAAACTCTCGCTCTAGCAGACTGGCGGTCAGGCCCACTCCCTGGTGACGGAATGGCAGCCTAGAAAAGAGAGGGTCAGGCCTCACCTTCCTTTAAGGGAAAGTCCTGAGGAGCATCTGCTTTCCGTGAGCACGTCTGGACGCTTCCCGCCCAGCCCCACCAAAACCCATGTGTGGGGCACCCACTCCCCATCCCCAGAACAGCCAGTGAGCCATTCGTCACAGTGTTTTTATCATGTTCTTGAAAGCTAGGCATCAAGATTTGAGAATGATTGTTGAAGGTACCACAGATCTATTTTGTTACATTCTGGAAATTCATAAATCCAATGTGGAAATAACATGCAAAACAGAAACTTCTGATTCACTGAAAAGTATCAGCTAGCCTTAGGCCAAATTGAATAACCATGCAAACTTTCTTTCCTTTTTCTTTCTGTTGGATTCAACTAATCAAAATCATGTATTCATCCATAAACATTTATTAAGCATATATTATGTTCTGGGCACTTCTTGGGCACTAGGGATAAAACAGCAAGTGGAACAGATTGGGAACAAGGCAATAGTCTACGCTCATGTCTGGGGAAGAGAATTCCAGGCAGAGGAAAGAGCAAAAGCAAAGGCCCCAGGAGGTGAGTGTGGGCCTGGCGTTTACAAGGAACAGTGAAGAGGCCCTTGGTGGAAGGACCAAGGTCAGGCTGCTGGAAGGACTTGGGCTTTCAGTTCCCCTGGGATGGGAAGCCATCAGCAGGCCTTAAGCAGAAGAGTAATGTCATCTATCTTGGGTTTTAACAAGGTCACTGAGGCTGCTGCGTTAAGACCAGACGGTAGAGAGACTACTCCTGTTGCATTTTGTATCCATCTCATGGCCTATACTTTTAGTACATTGCCTGTGTTGAATCACATAGTTATGTTCTGTGAACAGGATCTGAAATGGTACAACATATAGCCAGGCTGAAGGAATCGGTGACTAAAACCAAGACTACGAATTCTCTCTAAAAACAAAACAGCTGTTTTTTTTTTTTTTTACTTTATTTTTTGCAAAGTAGAGCAAAGATTTGATTAGCCTGAAGGAATGAAGTGTGCCGATTAATTCAGTTTTCTGATTAACCGATGCATTAGTCTGATGGGAAAACACATAGGAAAGAAAATTATCAATGTCCCTGCCTTTAATAAGCAA